ATAGCATTACAATGTATTAAAGTCTTTAGTAAATTTCTGGGGCAAATTTCTTTTCCTGCTCTTCTCTTTTATTGGGATGCAGGATTAAGTACATTCCTGACAACTTATTTATTCGTAATTGGTTTGTCTTCTAGAATAACGTCTGAAAAATTATATTCAGGTACATTTTAAATTCTTCCCCATTATCGTGTTTGCCTCAGTGTAACAAGAATTTATCTCTCATTTATTGTCTTTGATTTATTCCTATTTGTTTCCTATTTTACTTGCACTTTCTCCTTTATTTCTTGTTAAACATTCATCTGTTTATTTTTCAAAGAAACAGCTTCCATTCATTCATTCGAAAGCTAGCATGAGAACAGGCAGGGTGGGGCGAGCCCAGGGAGGGGAAAATATAATTTTAAGCTGGCTTCTTGCCCAAACCAGAGCACAACATGGGGCCCGATCTCACAAATCTGATATCATGACCCGAGCAGAAATCAAGAGTTGGTCACTCAAAGGACTAAGAAACAGATTTTATATTTTTATTTTCTGATCCATTACATTTTGCTTTAATCATTCTTAATTCTTTCTAACATCTATGCTGCAATTTCTTTAAAATTTACAGTTTTGAATACCTATTTGTGATTTATCTTTCTAAAAAATGTATATTGGTATTTAATTTTTTATATAAATTTATTTTTTATTGGTGTTCAATTTGCCAACATATAGAATAAATACCTAGTGCTCATCCCATCCAGTGCCCCCCTCAGTGCCCGTCACCCAGTCACCCCCACCCCCCGCCCACCTCCCCTTCCACCACCCCTAGTTTGTTTCCCAGAGTTAGGAGTCTCTCATATTCTGTCTCCCTTTTTGATATTTCCTATACTGGTATTTAAAATTAATTTGACTCTGAGCACAGATTCAGCACCATCTTACAGATTATAGTATGCATTTTTTTTACCATCTTATTCTGTCCTGATAAATTATTTTGAATTCACTCTTTGATCAAATTATTTTAAAAGAGATATTTAAAAGAAGCTTCAAACTGCTAGTGGCTAATTTTCTTGCATTGACATTGGAGAATATTGCTTGTACTACTAATTTCTCATGCAATTGACAGTTCCATTATAATCTGATAGTTATGTTTTGTTAGTGTTCATACAACACTTGAAAATGTGATATACTATATATTCTATAGCAAACATTTTTTCATGTATTAATTTACCTTCTTGAACAATTGCTGGGTTATTTTCCAAGACTCCCCATCCCCATCCCCACTCCAACTCCATTTTGCAGTGAGGTTGTAGTTCACCACCTAGTGTGGAAACAAAAACCACACCCTCAAGATGTTTACAAAAGAGAAAAGCATATGGGTGCTTACTATGGATTAGAAATGTTTTAAGTTCTTGAAATTCGGTAAATGGATTTAATGGTACATGAGACAAAGTGGTTTCCATGTGTTCGAGAGGAAGGAGTATTAGCGTATTTGTAAGTGTGTACGTCCACCAAATTTAGTCATTTGAAGCATAAGCAATCAAACTTGTTTCACATAGGCATTTATTTCTGTGTGATTAAAATGATACCTTCTGTATAGACACCTGAGCTGAGTCCATGAGTCCTAATGGAGGAGGGGCCAGCACATACTGAATCACTCACAGAGCAAACTTTTGTGTGGCAAGAGCTCCTTTGTTTCTGACTGCAACAGAGGTGGCCCCGCTGACTTCATGAGCAAGCCCTTGGAATACTTTTCCCAGAGCCGAAGGCAGTGACATTCCTTTATCTGACCTCTGAATGAGCTGATGAGGGAACAGAAATCCCATTTTTAAACATCATTTTATTTATTTTCCTTATGTGGACATCCATCACAAATAATACATATTTTTGTTGTTGCTTACTATATTTCAGGAATAAAATAGCACATTTTTAGTTTTAACTGAATCACTTTTGTTGAAAAAATTACTTGATCTTTTTAAAATTACAACTATAAGGGTAATGTGCCCCCATGCTACAAAAAAATCATAAAATAACACCGTTACTTTAACGCAAGTTCCAAAGATACCCAAAGAGAAAAAGTCTGTGGATTATTAATTCTTGTGCAAGCTCTTCTGAGGTCTCAAACACATATAATCCTTTTACACGTGTCACTCTAAAAATCCAATCTATGTTTCAATTTCTTTGTCCAATGTACATATTTTTGTCATAACAACCACAAAATAGGTGGTGCTATACCCATTTCTCATATAAAAAAACTGAGGTATAGGAAATTTAAGTAACTTGCTCCAGTCTGCATGGCTGGTAAGAAGCTGAGTCAGGATTCTAATTATTCATTGTCAGCAAAACCACTTTATCTTCTGCCAATCCTTGTTCCATTGTATATCCTGAACTTTATAATGATTGTTTCAAGATGCCATTTGAATAAAAACATTCTATTTTAGAACATTAGGTAGTGTATATTAAGACAAAGTTTTCAAAGTTTTCCAAGCTCAGCTTAAAAATCCCCCCTTAATAGCAGCTTAGCCTCTATTCAAAGCTCATTGTTTTTTTGAGACTTTGGTGCCAGTAGTCTTTGAGAGTGACCCATCTGGTCCTTTTTCTTTGGTTGTTTGGTCATCTGATTCCTCTTTCCCCTGCATGAATGGAGTGGTCTCAGGGGAACCAGCATATTTGATTTTTGTTTGGAATTACTCACCCTGCTGACAGTTAATAGTGAGGCATCCACAGCCTCTTGATTGGTGAATTCTTTGGATAAGAATTGATACACAAGAAATATGGCAAAGGTGCCAGTAAAATGGGCTGAGATACTTACCGATAAAATCAGGCATCATATAAGAAGAGAGAGGCAGTGTAAGAATCTGGGAAGCTGAGGCATATTGGGTAAGGGACTAAGAAATACTGAGTCTGTAAGCCAACAAAGCCCCACAGCTCCCACATTCTCTAGGAGCTTTTTTATGTCCATCTCTGTCCCATCTGGCTGAACCATCCATACTGAAAGATTGCACACACATTTCCAATAGCAATATTCAGCTGGTCTAGCTGATCCTGGACATGTAGATGAGGGAAGAAGCAGCATGGTGCCTGTGCTCTGGAAATATACCACTGAGTTCCTTTTGTGGTTCAAATAATTTATACCTATGGGTCACAGCTGTATGTGTAAGTAATTTAACCTCTCAACCTTATTTACTTCATTAGGATTATAAGAATAATTATAGCAATGACTTCACAACATTGGTCTGAGAATTAAATTAGTCCTTTGGAGAGTGCTTAGTAAATGGCACAAACTCTGTAAATGGTACTGTGTCTTTCCTAAATAGTCCGGACAATCTGGATCTCATAGAACTTATGTATCTGGTATACTTTCACCCTCAGCCAAGAGAAGAACATTCTGCAGTTGATGCATACAACATTTTGTACATTTTACATTAGATAAATTGTTAGAATTGTGCTGTTCAACTCCTTTGCTTGTTCAGTTACTGAAAAGATGTATGAAAATTGTCCACTTAAATTTTGTATTTTTCTTATTATTTATTTTTGATGCTGTGTTATTAAATGAATACAAAATTGGAATAGTTTTATTTTCCAGGTAAATTATAATTTAATATTCATATACTAACCTTATTTATCTCCAGCAATCTTTTTATCCTTAATATCAACTTTGTCTATTACAAAAGTCACAGCATTGCTATTTATTTTTTCATTCTATTACTTTTAAGGTTCTGTATTCTTATGTTGTAGGTGTGTATTTTAAACAGCATACAGTTTCATTTTAATTTTAATCAAGTCTGATAATCTTTGAGTTTCAATTTTTAAGCCATTTTCACTTAATCTGATAGTGTGTAATTCCCATATTACTATGTATTTAGTTTTTGTTCCTTTATATATTTCACTTATCTTTTCATTCTTATATTTTGACTGATTTAAATATTATTCTATTTTCTTTTATAATTTTGTCATGTATATATTGAAAACTTTTGTCAAAAGCCCCTTTCTTTGAATATCTAGAAATATTGAATACAAAGTACTGTGTATCTGAGTTCAGGATTGATTGTGCTATTATAAGGAATAATGACATTGCGCTAAACTGCACGGGAACACACATTTCTGTATTTATAATAGAACAGTGAGCTATTAATGCCATCACAGGAATTACCAATGTCCTATTTTGTAAAATTTCTTTATCGGTGTCTGCTATAATTGAACAGAGCCACTTTAATTATCTGTTGTCATTAGATACTATTTACTGAGCCTGTGAAAAGGACAGAACAATTATTTACACACCTCACACTCACACAACAGCAAATCATATTGCCTTTCACTTCCAGCTTCCAGCTCTTCCAGATAGTATATGGTGTATCCTTTATAAATATTTTTGATCATATAACTTTTTACATTTATATGCACATATATAATTCTTAAATACCTCCAAATATAAGTAATTTCACATCAAACTTCACAGGATAAAAACATGTAAACATACACACCTGGTTCTGGTCAAGTTAAACACAAAAACCACAAGGTAACCACATGTTAAAGAGTGCACTTGAAGGGGAATGAGGGAAGGAACAGACATGTAAACAACAAAGGTGAGCAGCTGTACCACAAAGGCCCTGCGAGGGTCCATTTCTTAAGGCTGTAGTAGCAAAAAGCTCCTTGTTCAGTTTAGACTTCTCCCTTCACCCTGTCACATTTATTCTTGAGGGACTTCAAAATGAGTGTGGAAATTCTGTAAACACTAGACTAGAACTGAGTCAATCCTGTTGAAAACAGAGATGACAAAATAAACCATAAACTACAGTCATATTCATTTCATCAAACAATAACGTTTAAGGACTTTTTGTTACAGTTCACCACAGTAAAGCACTATAACCTTGAAATGGGGATGGAAGAAAACAGAGATGGATGCTTTATAAAAAGGGCTTCAATAGCCTGTGAATGATAGATGTGTCTATAAACAGAAAACAAGCAACAGCGGATGGCAGAGCCTTAGCACACTAGACCACATGCCACAGCATAATGCTACAGATTCAAACTGAAATATTTTTTTCCAGCTCATAATGAAGCAAGTCCCACTGGTCCTTTGAAAAGAAATCTCATCATTTCCCAGTGAAATAAAACACTTAAACAACAGATTGGCCAGCCGAAGCATGACAAGCTCTTTTTTACTGCTTTTAAAGGGCATCTCACCCTCTCGCACCTGAGTAGGCTCCGAAAATTGACCGCAGTGAGCACCGGATGCCTCAGCACTCAGCCTCTGAGGATCCTCTCCCAGGCCCTCTGGGTCTGCATGCTTGTAAAAACAGTTATCTCCAAATGGGCAGAAACCCCTGCCTCCTGCAAAATACCTGCAAGTCTTGTTGCTCATTGCCTCCTTGTATTGCTGAATAAGTTTCTGCTTCTCTTCCTCCTCCTCCACCCAGAACTCACTGGGAATCACAAAGTTGGAGGTGACCCTGCACTGTGGACAGGACTTGACGATCCTGTTGCCAAACTGCTTGTCAGTCCTCCACCTGCGGATACACCTAAGACAGTAGGTGTGGGTGCAGTTGGAGAGGATGCCAAAGCGGCAGTCACTGGGGTTGGCTTTCTCATAGACAACCTCCATGCAGATGCCACACACTTTGTCCATACTTCGCTGAACTGCAAACGAGAGCTCCATATCCTTCTCGTGTGCTTCAATGCAAGCCTTTATATGGTCTGCCCTCTGTGCAGCATCCACAGGGTGCAAGACCTGAAGCCCACACATATCACATATCTCTCCATGGACATACATACAGCTCTCCCCACGAAAGCACTGCCCCATAGCCGCATCTCGGCAAAGCTGCTGCCCCCTGCCCACTGCAATCTGTTCCCTCTCAGTCACTGGGCTCTGCACAGAAGCCCTGGGAACAGAAGGGATCATGCGGCCCCGGTAGGGTTGCCCAGGAACAAACTCAATGGCATTCTCCCAACCTTCCACACCGGCTCCTCCAGCAGCTTCAAGGCCTGCATTGTCTCTCTCAGCTTCAAAGAAACCCCCTTCAGCAGCTAAGCCAATCGCAGGCAAGGAGCAGGCGAACGCAACAGAGGAGGCTTCAGCCACTTCCTGAGGCAAGGTCTCAATATGCGCAGCCGTGCTAGGGCTTGGGTCTGCGGAGGCCCCAGGCGGTGAACCAGGGCTCTCCCCAGCCTGCAGCCGGCCCGAGAGGTCATGGGAATAACGACAGTTCTCCCCCTCCTTGCAAAGCCCATGCAGAAAATACCTGCAGGTGACTTGCTTTGTCCAGCTGCCGCTGCTCCGGCCCTGCAAGCGACTGGGCCCCGCCCCTCCCCCCGAGGCCTGGGCAGGCCTCCGACGTGACGCACGGAGGGGGGCCGGGCCTGCAGCCGCAAATTGCCGGAAGACCGGGCGCATGTGGCGTGAAGGCCCAGGTGCACCCTCCCCTGCCACCTCGGCCCCCGTAGGTGCCCCAGATGCCTCCGAGGCTTCAGTGGGAGCTGCAGGCTCTTCCATGGCAAATTCTTCTCCCCAGATGGTACCGGAACTGCTCTGGTGTCTCTTCCTTTAGGCTTGAGGCCCAGAGAGCCCGAGCTGGTACCGGGGTCTCTTCCTTATGAAGTGTGCATCTCTTTTCCTTCTCCCCCTGCTCTCTTCCTGTGCTTGTGGGTTCCTACTTCCTCCTCTGGGCAGGCGCGGCGGACACTTCCTGTGGGAGCAACGTCAGCCCGGGATCCACTCTGCTGTCTGCACAGTGTGTACGCTGGTTCCGCATCCTCCTTTGTTCTCGGCTGCTGGGCTGCCCCGCCCCTTCAGGCCTCTGCACCTGCTGCTCTGCACTCCCGCTGCCGGATCGCAATCCCTCCCGCTTGCAGTCTCCTCTGGAGGACGTAATTACAGATCCTTGAGGTTTTGATTTCATGTCTCCCAGTATTCATTCAGACACATTGTATTCTATTGCTTTTTTGTATGGTCTATTTTAAAAATCGTAATCCTACCCCCGCCCCAGGTTTATTCTGGAACGTCATACCCATACACTTTATAAATCCTTTTTCTGCTCGCTCCATTTTATGCCTACATAGGTCTTTGTGTGCATGCGACTGGGCCCCCTCCCCCCCCCCCCCCGGGTTACAGCTGTCACTGTGGAAAGCTTTTTCTTCACAAGACATGATTTCTTTTGGTCTCTCTTCCGGAAAATCTCACAAGCTGATACTGGAAATGCTTTTCGCCAGCGAGACATTAGCAGGGAGTGCTTCTGATCAGAGGCCACTTCAGCGCTTTTCAGATGTCTTAGTTTATTGGATTTTCCAATTCTGTGTCCCGCTGTGCAGAAGCTGCTGCCTTTGTCAGATCCTGATGCGGGCATAATTAGCCACTGTCCCCTGTGTGACCCTGGCTTTTATTTTCTCCTCGCTTGACTCATGGTGGCCCTTTGTTTCTCTTTATTTCCCTGAGGTTTGTCCTGCATTGTGGCAGGCCAGCCATTCATAATGCATGCTCTATCATCCTGCTCAGAAGTAGTGCTTTTTAATTTTCTCTGTGAGCTCTTTGTCGTTTTGGAAATATGTTTCAGTAGAATGGTTTAAAAAAAAAAAGAAAAAAAAAACCTCTTCTGCTAAGATTACTTATCATGGATGTACACTGAATTTTTTTTTTTTTTTGTACACTGAATTTTATCATGTAGTTTTCTGCATTGAGAAATGATCTTATGTTTTTTTTTTCCCTTTACGCTCTTATTGTGATTACTTGCACTGACAGACTTCCAAATATTTAATTTACTATTTTTTCCAAGAGTAAATCTGCATTACGATGCTTTATCATTATATATATATTATTGGATTTTCTTTGCCAAAGTGAGTTTCTTGGAATTTAGTGCCTAAAACTTAAAATGAGGGTGTCTGAATATAGCAGAGGAATCAGATTGAAGCAAATAATAAAAAACAAACACGAGGTAAGGGTAATGAATCAGTGTAATCCTTTAAATGAATTACTGAGAGCTAAATTTCTGATGAAATTTATTTAAAAATGAAGAAGCCTCAAATAATATCAGAAATTTTTAAAATAGGATATCATTACATTAATAACATGAAAAATCATGAGAGGATATCAGAAACAAGGCTTAGCCATTAAGTGTGAAAATTTATTAAAATTGATCATATTTCTAGAGCCACAGCTATTATTAAAAATAGCAGGAGCAGTAAAAAGAAATGCCCTATTACATAAGTTAAATATGTAACTAAAAGTAATCCTTTAAGTGAAGGATTTTAAAGCTTTCCATCTGAAATAAATAGGCAAAGTGCTATATTGTCAATCCTAGCCAGTGCCATGAGTCAAGCAAATAAATAAAATATTTTATAATTGTAAAATAATTATTAATAGGAGAAAGCAGAAAATTGAGGAAAAATATTGATAAACCATCAGGTTTAATAAGCACATGTAGCAAGGACATTGGATAGAAGTGTAGTACACCAAACAGTTGTATTTCTATTTCAGTTAATACACTTAAACACTTAAAATTCATAACATAACACCATAAAAGGTTAACTACCCTAGAAATCAAACTAAATGAAGTTGTAGAAATTAAAGTCATGTTTTATTTAGGAAGATTTAAGTAAGCCAGGGGATATCCTGCTCATGCAGTAGAAGCTAAGCTCAATATTTTCAAAAGGTAAACTTTCCCTCTTTTGGTAATTATGAGAATATTGCTGTTTTCCACCATGAATGTAGGAAATCTTGGGGATTTTGAATTCCTTCTTTTGTATTGTTACTGGGTTTTGTGTTGGGGATGCCAGTTCTTCCAAAGTCTAACTTGCTTTCTCTCTCCTCTCATAAATGCATTGGTTGCTGAGTATTCTTTTGACAGCCCCAAAGATTTTCATAGGAAAAAAACTTGGAGAATGGGTTTATATATCAGGCTTTTTACAGATTCACAAACCTAACAATCTTGATTGTCAAACTATTATTTGTTAAATGGTAATATGTTCCCAGCAATATGTTTAATTTATATTTGATCCACTTTTTATAGGTCAGCACTGTCCAGTAGAATTTTCTGTGATGCTTTGATGTATATGCTATTCAGTATTCCAGTTTGGTAGCTATTAGCCCCATGTGGCTCTTTTTTTTTTTAAGAGAGCTAGCACAAGAGAGCCACAGAGGGGCAGAGAGCAAGAGCCTGAGAATCTTAGATAAGCTTCCTGCAGAGCTTAATCTCATTACCTTGAGATCAAGACCTGAGCCAAAATCAAGGGTCAGCTGCTAAACTGACAGAACCACCCAGATGCCCCAGGCCCATGTGGCTTTAGAGTACTTGAAATGACTAGTACTTGAAATGACTAGAATGACTGAGGGACTGAATTTAATTTTAAATTTAATTTAAATAGCTACATAGGGCTAGTAGCTATAATATTGGACAGTGAAGTTCTAGATTGTATTAGACCACATATCTCCTCACAAAAAAGAAACATATTTTATTTAAATTCAGTTTTCCAACATATAGTGTAACACCCAATGCTCATCTCATCAAGTGCCCTCCTTAGTGCCAGTCACCCAGTTACCCCATCCCCCCTCCCACCTCCCCTTCCGCAACTCTGTTTGTTCCCAGACTTAGGAGTCTCTCATGGTTTGTCTCCCTCTCTAATTTTTCCCACTGAGGAAGAGAATCCCTAAAGCCTATGCAGCAGGCATGGGGCAGCATTTATTTTCATACACTCACTTGTGTGCCTGTCAATTGTGTTCATGTCCTACCATCCATAGTGAACTATATCTTCTAGTTTTATAGTGCAAATATTTCATATATGCTGTTAGAAACTAAAATTGTACTACATGATTTTAAATATGTGATATTGAATATCTATAAATAGGGGAGTGCATGTAAAGAATAAGCAAATACTTCCCATTTTGATCACATATCTATTCTCAGAGAATTTTATCTGACTGTAATAGTCCTGTTTTGTCCTGCTTTTTGTCTTTTTGTTTTATTTATTTATTTATTTATTTATTTATTTATTTATTATTTATTGGCACTGATGTTTTCATGTAGTCTCTGAGAATACACATCTGATCATGTCTTTAGTTATTTGGCTGAGCTGAGGGCTCTTTTCCCAAAAACCCACTTGGCCTCAGGACTGGGACCTGAGACCAATTTGTGCAAACAGCAGTGTTCAGGGCAACACAGGAGCTCCTCAGTGGTCAGGATTTAGATGTCCAAGTGGAATGAATGAAAACAATGGCTCCACTGAGCCGGCTGCACTAAGCACTTAGGTCACAAAATGACAAGGAGGGAGGTGATTTATAGCACTGCAGGGCTGAGGCACAGCCCAGGCATCATAAGAAAAGCCCTAGAGGCAGGATACTAGTTCAGAAGTGGACTGTAGGGATGGATAGAAAAAATCCAGGAGGCTCCACAGTCTTTTATTCCAAGTAGCTCAGGCCAGCTGGTCTCAGCCCCACTTACTGTGATGTGTCCATATTTAAAACACACATATTTGTTTCAGAGTAATTTCCCTCAGCAAACCCACGTGCTTCAGGCCCAATGTTTAGGTACTGCTGTAGAGATGGGAATTAAAACAGGGGTCTAGAATCAGGCATCAGGGATTCAAATCTGAAATACAGAACTTTCTGAGGGATTCATCTTGGGCAAATTAATCACCTTTTCTTTTTTTGTACCTCATTTGGCAGATGATAGGAATAATAGCAATAATACAAGTGATTAGCTCACTGGTTTGCTGTATTTTTTTTTTAGGTTTGCTGTATTAAAGGAGAAAATTCTTATAAAAATGATTGGCGCAATACCTGTTAAAAGTGATAATCTTTGAGATATCCATAAATGCCCCTTGGCTTTAAAAATCAAAGAAATTAGAGGGAGACAAAACATAGGAGACTCTAAACTATAGGGAACAAACTGAGGGTTGCTGGAGGTGAGGTGGGTGGAGGAATGGGGTAACTAGGTGATGGGCATTAGGGAGGGCATGTGATGTAATAATGAGCACTGGGTATTGTGTGCAACTGATGATTCACTAAATTCTGCCTATGAAACTAATAATGTATTCTTTGTTAATTAATTCATTTAAACTTTAAAAAATCCATGAAGGGCACATGGGTGGCTTGGTTGAACATCTGCCTTTGGCTTCGGTTGTGATCCTGGGGTTCTGGGATCAAGTCCTGCATCAGGGCTCCCTTCAGGGAGCCTGCTTCTCCCTCTGCCTGTGTCTCTGCCTCCCTCTTTGTGTCTCATGTATAAATAAATCTTAAAAAAATAAAAAATCAAAGAATCCTGCAATTAAAGTCTCTTAGTATGCCTATATGTTTTCTGCTATCTGGATACAGCAGTAGTCTGTCTATAGGATGCCTAAAAGTTCCTGGCTCATGAGAGGTAATGAATGAATACTTATTTTCTCATACTGATAGGCAAACTTACTTTATTTTAATAATAAATTTATTTTTTATTGGTGTTCAATTTGCCAACATACAGAATAAAACCCAGTGCTCATCCCATCAAGTGCCCCCCTCGGTGCCCT